GGTGCACGCCTTCTTCGCCGCCGTCTTCTCCTCATTGGCCGTCTTGATGCGCGCCCTCTCCGCGTTGCTTTTCTCCATCGCTGCCCGGTACTTGGACCACTCGGTCGGGCTAACGTCCACAGGGCACGGGCCGATGTTGACGCCGCCAGCGCCGCCCTCGCGCTCCACCTCAACCACCGGCTCCTCCGCCTCGTCCGGCTCCACCGCCATCGCCGCCAGCGCCTGTTCCTCCTCCGCCGCCGCCTCCGTGCCCGCAGCCGCCGCCTCGCCGTCCACCGCCTCGCCGTCCGCAGCCGCCTCCGCCGCCGCCGCTGCGCTCCTCTCGCGCGTCTCGAGCACCTCCGTGAGGATCGCGACCTTCTCCGCCTTCGTGCCGCAGAGCCCTCCGCTCCCCTCTCGAGGCTTCTTCGGCAGCAGCGAAATGCGGCCCTATCGCCACGCGCTCGGATCAGAGCGGTACTCGTGCGAGGCTACTGAGGGGCGAGCGCGAGGCACCTCCAGATCGAGTACGTCCGAAAACAGCGTCCGCAGCGCCGCGTCGAGCTCGCCAACGTTCATGTTCTTCGGCTTCTTGCTCTTGGCGCCCGGTCGCACCGGCAGAGGCGGAAGCGGCTTGTGCTTGCACTTCGCCGCGATGTACGCCTCCCACTTCTTCTTGATGGTGACGATGACGTGGTACGTGTCCCAGTCGTGCACGATGGCGAGGCCGAGCGCCCGCGCGACGTTCGCGATGTCGACGCTCGCACCAGAGCACTGGTCGGTCGCCACATTCTCGGGGACGAGCCCCAGCTCGACCAGCCGGCGTAGGCCCGTGAGCAGCGCCTCCTTCTCGCCGCGCTGCGCCACGCCAGCGCAAAAATTGGAGCGGTTCTTGTCGGTCACCTGGCACAGGGCGCACAGCCCCAGCACATGCGTCATGAAGGTGCCGTAGGCGTGCTTCGAGTTGCGATTCTGGCCGTGCCCCGCGTCAAAGCCGAGCCGCTTGTCACCGATCTCGCAGCACCATTTGATGACGCGATTCGTGTCCTCGCTGTCCATCTGCAAGGCAACGCACGCAAGCTCGGCCTTGACCCGCGTGTCGAAGTTCTTGTTCAGGTCGGCGAGGCCCGTCACCGCGAAAAAGTCCTGCGCTCGGGCGAACTCGCAGCCGGTCAAGTGCAGCCCGGCGACCAGCTCGTAGTTGAGGAAAAAGTCGAACTTGTCACTCTCGGCGTCGAGAGGTTCCGGCGGGGTGGGGTGCGCAGCTAGCCACGCCACAATCTTTTTGCGATTTGCCCTCGTTGGCACGCGCTCCTTCTCCCCGACGAAGTCTCGGAGGACCTTCTCCGAGCCGAGCCGCATCGTCGCCGCGAGCTTTCGGCGCGAGAAGCGAGCGTCGAGTTTTGCTCGGTACTCGAGAGCTTCGGTCAGCTTCTGCCGGAGCACCGCCGGCTCCTCCACCCACTCCTCGGGCGCGTCGCTAACCTCCCCAGCTGCAGGGCGGCCGTAGGTCAGCTTTTGCGCAAAGGTCAGCGCACGCCACTCTGCGTCGAGGATCCTGTTGCCCTCCGCAAACGAGAGGATGCGGCCACGCGCTCGCTCCTCGGCCCAGCGAGTCTGCTTGAAGCGAACCCTCGCGTGCGGCGCCAGCTTCGGCCTCGGCGCCGGGCCGAATACTGGCAGGTCAGCGCTCGCCTCGCCGACGGGCGCCGCGGCTCCAGCGGTGGCAGTGGACGGCTGCGTGCGTGGCGCGCCCGACATCTTCTCAGCCGCCGTGTTCCAGTGCACAATGTGGCCGCAGCCCGTGCATCGGAAGGTGAAGCAGCCGACGAAACCGACCTTGCAGCACTCCGGCTGCGCCGTCTCGTCGTGGACAAAGACCAGCTCGCAGCATGGGCAGTCCTTGGCGTGAAGCTGCACCGCCGCCGCGAGGGCGTTGATCTGCGGGACCTCAGCCACCACCATCCCCGTGAGGGGCATCAGCACATTGCCGTGCCCAGTGCCGGTCCGCCGCGCGGCGTCGCCCTTGATGACCGTCGCCGGCGCCACCGTCGGCAGCAGCGGCACCGTCACGTTGCTCGCAGTACTGGCAGTGCCGCCATCGGCGTCAGCCGGCGCAGCGATGCGCTCGTCAGGCCCGTCAAAGTGGAACTCGCGCCCCAGGATGGCGAGCGTCGTGCCGTCCGCGGACACCGTGGTGCCAGGGAGTGCGGCGGCGAGAGTGACGAGCCACTCGCCCACGTTGGCGTTGCTGCGCATCGAGGCAGCTGAGCCAGGCCCGGCCAGATTCATCCCCGCAAGTGCGACGAGGATGAGCTTGGAGTTCCGCTGCAGCGTGGTGAGGAGGTTGCTGCCGCGGGCCGACGCGTCGAGCTTCGTCGGCGAGCTTCGCGGCGTCACCTTTGCCTTGGGCTTCGGCGCCATGGTCATGTCGGCGTCTGAGTTTTGCGGGCGCCGTGCCTTGTGCCGGTGGGCATCACCGCCGCCACTGGCACTGCTCGGCCCGAGAGAAGAGCGCGACGGCGGTCCGTGGCGGCGGCCTCGCTTGGTGCCTGGGCCGGGCTGCCGGTTGTTGACGTTGCTGTTGCCGAGAGGGGCACGGGGAGGCATGGCTGTTGCTTTCGCTAAGGCAGTTGGCGCGAATCGCGATCCGAAGTCGGCGGGCGGCGGCGGGCTGCCACGCGAAATAGAAAAAATCGCGCCGCCAGGACACGGAACCTGCATAGCAGCAAGGGCCCTCGCCGATCGAACCACCGTCCACCCCCCTCAACTACACACGCTCTTTAGAGATACTAGAAGTCACTAGACCAGAGGCCCCCCCGCACGCCCTCCCCGTCCTCGTCACCACACACGCCACACACGCGCCGTGCCCGTGACTGCGCCTTAGTGAGGAAGCCTGTGTAGTGGCCCATGGCGACGCACTTTGCGAGAAAGTCGCAATCCGAGTCTGGACCCAGGTCGCACTGGGTGCTCGGGAACTCCCTGCGAATAAACCTCTCGATGCAATCGCAGAACTTCGTGCGCTGCTTCATGTCGTCGCCCGCGTTCAAGACCTTGTAGGCAGCACGGTAAAGATGATATCGGCCGCAGCGGTGCGCCGCCTCGCGCTGGTCCTCCAGGAAGGGAGCAGCGTTGTCGTGCTGCAGGTCGAGGTACACCGAGAAGTGCAGGTCCGCCTTCAGCACCTCGACAAGGCATTTTTCCAGCGCTGCCGGTAAGATACGGTCCGGGTACGCGCAGCGGATGCACTCGATGTCGCCGGGTGGGTCGTCGAGCGCGTCGAAGACGCCCTCGCCACCCCTGCGGCTGCGGCCACCGCCACGCCGGCCACCGCGGCGCCTGGCGCGTCGTGCCTGAGCAATCGGCGAGTCTTGCTGGGACGAGTTTGAAGTCGCCTGCAAGCACGGCGGTTGTGATGTGAGTAGCTAGGAGCGGCGGCCACGCAGCCGGGAGAGGTGCGCGCCTGAGAGGTAGGGGTGTCTGGCTGGCGGGAGGCAGAGCGGCCATCGCTGCGCCCTGCAGCCGGACGGACGCCGCCAGAAGGAGCAGGCGTGCCCAGGTAGCTGCTCCACTCGGTCGTGCTGCCGGAACACGGCGTATGTGAGTGCCGCTCGCCTAGCAGGCTGCGCCTCGGACTCGCATACAACCGACGGGCCGAGTCCGTGGTGGAGGGCGTCTGTGACTCTGTCGACGACGACGCATCCGTGCGGCCGCTGCGCGGCGTCGAGCGCACCGACTCGGAGACTGCGGACGCCGGGGTCGACGTGTTCATGCCCGCCGACGGTCCATAGTTGATCCTGCGCACTGGCATTGGCCCCGTCGGCGACGAGAGCGGTGGGTCATTGTCATCGGCAAACTGGAGGAAGAGCGTGGCGCAGCGGCCGTCGATGACGGTCTGGTGGCGTACTGTTGCGCCCGAGTCGGTTCCACCGCCCGAGGACCGCCCAGTCTCCATCGCGCGCAACATCGCGAGCACTGCGTTGACGGCACCCGGCGACGCAGCCTCCAGGAGGCGGACTGCGTCGCGGCGCATGTCACCATCGGCCTCCGGGGGTGGGTCCGGGGCCAGGCCACTCTCGGCGCCCGAAACACCCGGCGCAGAGCCCGGCATTGGGGCCGCGCGCGGCGCTGACACAACCCGTACGGGTTTGAGGGCGCCCGCCCAAGAGCCGAAATAGGCCTTTAAACAAAACAACTCTCTCTCACAGCAGACAGGCTCGACACAGGTAAAATAAGGAATACAAACTGCGTTGTTTCTAGTCTGTACAGCTTCGCGAAGCTCTGGGACATGTGAGGCCGCCCCCTAGTCTTGCGAGGGGTGGCTGCTAACCTAGAGTGCCCGCCGCCGGCGCGCTAGGGAGTTTGTGGTGGAGGCGGGCACTGGCGCAGGCGCGCTGCCGCGCATCAAGCGGAGAGAGGTTGCCGCCAACTGGATGCTCGGCGGCCTCGGCGTGGTGCTCGCCGTCGTCGGGGGCGCCGTCGCCGCCAAGGGCTGGTGAGCGTGGCTCTGGCCGATTAGCGATTACGCTGCCGCCGTACACTTCTCCATGTCCATGTGTGGCGAGCGCCGCAACACACGGCAGCGAGCCAAGCTGCAGAACATGTGCGAACCAGCGCCTACGACGCTCAAGGAGTCAGGCGCCGCGGAGCGCTCCCCGAAGAAAATTTTGAGGGTTGTGGAGGGCTTGCGATTTCTATTAAGAGTTTGACTCATCACACGCGGAACCACTCGGCCCACCCACTGGCGCAATCTCAAGTGTAGCGGCGCTCCGCGCCTACCCACACGCCACAGCGGCGCGCTCCGCGCGTGCTTTCCAGCGGCGCGCTCCGCGCGTGCTCTGCGGCAGTGACTACACTGCATGTCTGCATCTTCTGCAGCTCCAGCAGGTATCTCAGCAGTGTGAGTTCATCGCCAGTTATCTGCGCCTCCGTTCGTCGCTCTCGTGCTTGATCGTCAGGCGCAGATAACTCTCGGCCCAAATAAAAGAATCCGCCGTCGACACAAGCACCCCCCCCCAACTTCACCGCGCTGAGCTGTAGACGAGCAGGAATCTGGGCAGTGCCGCGGCCTCATTGTACACGACCAGCTCGTCATAGTTTAGGTTTGCTCCCACCTCGCCGACGATCGAGTCGTACCCGTCCGGTGGCCTATGAGAAGAAATCTGGCCGTGAAGACACCAGGGAAACTGTGAATGGGTGGGCGCCCCGTGGCCTCGTCACATCGAGCTCGGCCTCGTGCGTGCAGTAGGCGCGGCCCGCGGCGACCGTCGCTACAAACATCGTGCGCCAGCGGCGGCTGCCGCGGAGGCGCTCGCTGTGCGTCGCGTAGTCATTCGACTTTCCCGACGTGGACGAAAAGTACAGACCCGGCCCGTAGCGCAGCGCGGCGCGGTTCGACGCGTTGGGCCCACTGCCCGCGTGCGCGCGCAAGAAGCCTGCGTGAACAAGCTTAGCACATGAATACAGCTGAATACGCGCTGAACACGTGTCTCCTTGAGTGCTAGTTGGAAGACAGGGACCTGCATCCCGTATCTAGGGCACGAGATGCCGTGGCCGAGGATGGAGCAGAGCGCGCAGCCGCGGCTGTTGCACGGCGCGCGGTTCAGGTCGACCGCAAAGTCGCAGGTGGCTCCCGTGCCGTGGAAGCGCCGCCGCTCGTTGCCCACGGCGGCCAGGTGCCTCGCAAAACGCTCGCTGAGGGCGGGCGGCGGGCGGATGGCGTACACGCGCTCGACGCGAGGTACGGTGCCGGGCTTGCGCCAGGCGATGGTGAACTGCTCGATCACGCTCGAGCGCTCCGGCGACGCCCGAGTCAAGAGGTCGCAGGCGTACTCGCCCGTGGAGCCGACAAAGACCCTCTCAACGCCGGGCGCCGCGGGCGCGAGCAGGCCGCGCCTCTCCGCTCGCTGCTTGTGGTCGTCGGTGCAGAAGCCATGGTGCAGGCGCCCGCGGTTGCAGCCTGGAAGGCCGCACCTCTGCGGCGGTGGAGTAGTGGCAACGCCGCATGCTGCTGCGGTGAAGGGCGCCTCGCGGTCGGCCTCACACGCAGCACACCGGCCGGACTCGGCCTTATTGACGAGCGTGCAGCGCACGCAGTGCCAGTGGCCCGGAGGCAGCAGAGCGTCAGGCTGCTCATTTTCTGCTTCGGCGAGCGACGCCGCAATCGCCCAGTCGACATGCTGCTCCTCCTCGCGCGCGTCGCGAGGCCGCTTTAGCGGGCCGGACGACATTACTGTTAACAAACGCAGCAGCGCGATACCGACACACCTGAGACGAGCGCCGCCAACGCGACGCAAACCGATCGAAACAAGAATTTTCCCGCCGTCCTCCAAGCGCGCGCCAGTCCCTGCTCGGTGTTGTGCGAGGGAGTGCGCGTTAGGTTTTCGTCTTTTTCTACCCTTATAAGTCTCTCGTGTCGGCGCCGACGCTCTTTTAACCGTAGAACGTCCCTACTGAACACCGCCCGCCGACGATCGATCAGTCCACAATCGTCGGCCCGCACCCCGCAGCGACCCGCAGCGATGGATGCCGCCCCCCACGGCCCCTACGGCCGACGCGCCGATGCACGACCGGCCTCCGTCGGACGGCTCTCCGGCCTCTCCGGCCGCTGCCGCCCGCGCTGCTGCCGATCCGGTCCCCTTCACGCTCCGCACAAGCATAAACGACACTTTTGAGGTCGCCGGCTTTGGCCAGGTGCCCACCACCTGCTTGCCTCCATGTTCACGCTTCGCGCCCCTTCCCCCCCTCTGACGCCGCCGTATACCGTAGGTGAGGGGCACGACTACCCGCCTGGAAGGCGCTCTCATCAGCAAGTCACCCAGGCACCAAGCTCCTGGGCGTTTACGCTTGACTACGAAACCATGCAGTGGATGCAGCTCGATCAAAACGGCGACGCCAACAGCTGGTCCCTGGGCGAGTTCCTCGCCCAGGATGAGGTGCGAGTCATGATGCTCGACCCAGCGTGCACCAAGTCGCTCACATTCCGTGAGTTCGTCAACGGGCGACTGCGATCTCGAACTCCCGACAACTGGACTGGTGCACCAGCCGCGGAGGACGATGTATGATGTAACTTATTCCGGGGCCGGTGTGCGGGGAGCGAACCTTAGCGACCGCCCAGAAGCTTTCTGAGCGACCCAATCGGGCCGGGATCATCAGCATATGTCCCCTCCACAACATCGTGGGCGTTTGAGCGGTATTTGAGGACCACCGCCACTCTGAAGTTCGGCCGGGTGGTCTGCAGACCCCCCCCCCCCGGAGCAGCAGAGGCTCCGTGGGGTCGCAGAGTCGAAGCTGGGAGTCGCACTCGTCAAACCGTCGCATGACCACGCAGTCCGCACGTACCACCCACATCCCCTCCACCGCTCAGAAGGCGCAGATCGACCGCCGGGCCGCGTAGTCGTCGTTAAGGAGCGGTTTTTGGAGCCGTACGAAGAGGTCCCAGACCGCAGACGGGCGAACATGCGGTTTTTCGATGACCACGCGCGATGTGGTATCTGGTTTTTGCTAAAAACGGGCCGCCTAGTGCAGCATCACTAGTACAACACGCAACCACACTGAGAGCTCCACACTAGCCGGTATAGGCGAGCCCCGGCGGCCTCACCGTCGCCGCTCGCGGCGGAGCCGACGGCGGAGCCACGGGCGGGTGCGACCTTTTTGGGGGACATGAGCTCGCCAGGACGTCACCGATGGCTCGGCGCGCCTCTTCCCGCCTGCGCGGGGCGGCCTGCCTACAGGAGCGAGGGGGAGGAAGACGGAACTGAGCCCTAGGTTCGTGCAAAAGCGCCGGCAAAGGCTGGGAGAGGGGCGGCAAGCGACGGGCGGGTGAGCGACCTTTTGAGCGGCCGTGAGCCGGCAGGGAGGCCGGCGATGGCTCGGCCAGCTCCTTCCCGGCGGGTTCTCGTCGGGCTGTGCCTGGTCGGCCGGGCTCGGGTGAGGTGAGTGGGCCCGGGAGTCGCATCTGCGCGTCCCCGGCAGTGGCAGTGTAGGGGTAGATGGGAAGTGCGGAGATGGGAGGCAACGCGCCTGTTTGATGGCCGCACGAGGCAAAGTTGGGCGCTCCGAGCGTCTTTTCGGCGAGAACGAGCGGGCTGTGCATCGTGGGGGGGTGACTGAGAGGGAGGTGGTCGTGCGCTCACTTTGTCGGCCGCGCGCGAGGAGAATACTGGGTGTGAGGCGCGCAGGAGGCGAGGGTGGGCGCGCCGGCGGTCGAGCCACCGAAGAAATCGACGTGGCGCAGCTCCGCGCCGGCGGGGACGACCGAGCACATGATGTCGGCGGCGGTCGCGCGACGAGGGAGAGCCGCAGGAGCCCTCTGTGGAGCAGGCGCGCGAAAGCAGCGATGAGTGGCGCTTCGATCAGCCACCTGTGGGCGGTCACAGGGGTCGCGGTCAAGCTCGCGACGGGGTAAATCTGGTGCGTCTAGTATCACTGGTGGGCTGGGTGTGCAGCAGCCGCGCTCAAAAAGAGGCAAAAAAAGCGGCTGCTACTTTGAGTGTCTACTCTTTCTCGGCGCACCGTGCTCGGCCTCGCTGAAAAGCTGGCTGGTGGTCGCGCGCAGCGCGTCAGCGCCACTCCGACTGGTTGGGCACCTCGGCTGGGTCCATCAGCAAGAGGCCCGCGCCGTCGGGCGGCCCCGGGAGCGCATGATGCCCCTCCGAGAGGCGCTGACGCCCCGCCGAGATCGCGCTGGTTTGGCACGAAAAACACGAGGCGCCCAGGGGGGGGTCCGAATAAGTTACATCATAGATGGCTCCCTCGACGACATCCCTTCATCGACGGACGCCTTCACCGCCGCCGGCCCTGGGCCATCCATCGCGGCCTCCGACTGGCTGCCGCAGCTCACACCCTAATCTATCTGCCCTAGGCACGGAGCCAACGGAGCCATCGCGTGCGGCTCCGAGGTCTCCCGCCGAGACCGGCTCGGCGCGGGTTTGACTGACGTGACTGACTGATGAGTGCTTGCGAGAGAGAGATTTTTAGCAATGCTTGCGATGGATGATCTCCGACACCCAAAACCAAAATACAAATGCGGAGTGGAGCCCACACTTCGCGTGCAGATCCTGCGTCTCTCACTGGCCCGAACAACAGAGGCGGGTACCGGCGCAGGTCCCACACAGTGTGCGAAACGCACCATGTTCACTCTCTTCCTGCTCGGCACAACGACGGCCCTCGTCGGCCCTCTTCATCGGCCGCCGCTGCTCGCTTCGCCTGGCCTCGCGCCGCGCGGCTGCTGCGTGCGTGCGTGTGCTGCGCCCGCCGAGCCCTCCCTCCTCCGGCGTGGCGCTTCGCTCGGCGGCATCGTGCTCGCCGACGCGCTGCTCAAGCGCGGCTTTGTGCGGCGCGGGGTAGCTTTCCCCTCGTCCCTCGCCGGGTCGGTGATGCTCTTTGCCAGCCTCTGCTCCCTGCGTGCAATCTCGCCGCCGCTCGCGCGCGGCGTCGCCCGCGCCGCCCGTCCGGGCTGCGCCATCATCGCAAAGTGGCTGCCGCTCTTCTTCGTCCCAAACCTCGTCCTCCTCCCGCTGGTCCTGCGCCTCGGCGCGGGAGACGCCGCCCGCCTCGCGCTCCTCATCGGCGGCGGCGCCGTCCTCTCTCTCCCCGCCTGCGGCTTCGCTGCCCGCACCGCACTCGCCGCCAGCGAGTCGCTCCCCGAACGGCAGCGCCTCTCGGAGCGGCTGAATGTCGGCATGTACGAGCCGCCCGCCTCGGACCGTGTCGCGTCCGCCGCCGCCGCCGCCGCTGCCGAAGCCGCCTCTCCGGTGACCGGAGTCGGCCTCTTCGCCGACGGCGACGAGGGTGCCGACGCGAGCGAGGCGGTGGCTGCGGCGAACGCGCCGCCGCGGCCGCCGTTCGCGGCAGCGCTTCTGCCACGGCTGGCCTCGGCCGCGCTGGCGAGCGGCGCGGCGTCGGCGCTCGCTGCCCAAGGCCTCGGCGCCCCGGCCGCCGCGGAGTGGCTCCGCGACGCGTCTCTGCTGACGACGACCGCCGGCGGGTTTGTCGCCGGCTCCACCCTCGTCCCCAAGCGAGCTCAGAAGCTGCTCCACCCGCTGCTCACCTGCACGCTGTGCACGCACGCCGCCGTCGCGGCGCTCGCTCTCGCCACCGCCCAGCCCTTCTCCGTCCTCCTCCGCTCCTACCTCCTTCCCGGCGGCGCCCCGCTCGCTGCGCCGGGCAGCATCCGCCGCCGCGAAGAGGGCGACGGCGCCTCCCTCACAGTCCGATGGCGCGAACAGGCAACCTGCTGCTCGCGATGCTCGGACCGGCGACGCTCTCGTTTGGCTTCTCCATGTACGAGAAGCGCCGCCTCCTCGCCGCCTCGCTGCCAGCCGTCACCGCCGCCACCGCCGTCGCCGCCGCCGGAGGACTCTTCGGGTCGGCGGCGGCGGCGCGAGCGCTCGGGCTCGACGCGGCGCTGCGGGCGGCTGCGATCCCGAGGCAGGTGACGGCGCCGCTCGCCATTGCAATCTCCGGCTTGGTTGGCGCCGACCCGGGCATCGCTTGCACGATCGTCGTCCTCACCGGCCTTGCAGTCGCCAACTTTGGCCACAACCCGCTCGACGCTTCACGGCGGAGGTGCGAAGAGGCGCCGCTCAAGGAGGCACGTCGTGTGGGTAGGCCTCGCGCTGCTTGACGCGGTCGGCGTGACCGCGCCCGTGGCGCGCGGGCTGGCGATGGGCGCCGCGGGCCACGGCATCGGCACCGCTGCCACCGCCGCAGAGCCGGCCGCCTTCCCGTTCGCCGCGATCGCGATGGTCCTCAACGCGGTGGCGTCGACCGTGCTCGCCTCGATCCCGCCCGTCCGCAAGGCGCTGCTCTCCGCCGCCGGCCTGCCCGCCGCGTGACGCCCTCCTGCGGTGCACGCGCCGGGCGCCGAGAGGGCGGAGGGCCGCTCCTGCGCGTCCCCTGGCCTCCCTCCGCCTCATTGTATCGTACGAGAGTAACACAGAGAGCTAGAGTCTACAGGCGGAGAGTGTGACGCAAACCGCCTCTGGTCATGATCGACATGCGCATGTGACACATCGCGGCAGGAAGGAGTGTGTATGCATATGCCCCACCACAGTGCCAGTACGAGTGGTGCCCCACCACAGCGCCTGGAACAGCGGCGTGAACACACGCTCGCTCGCTTGGTCCGACAAGCTCAGTGATGATGCTCTCGTCCCTGGCCCGCGCCACGCGCGCGCTGCCTGTTCGGCACGCTCGCGGACTGGCGGGTCGCGTCGAGAGCGTCACTGAGATTATCGGGTCTACGCCCATGGTCAGGCTGAGGCGGGTCGTCGGCGATGCGAAAGCTAAGGAGCGTCCACACCACTGCATATCCCTCACCGCCACCGCATCGCGGCACCCGTCCTTATCCGCCACCACATCGCGACCATCGGGCGCGCCTCGTCGCAGGTGTATCTCAAGCTCGAGATGCAGAACCCGGGCGGCTCGGTCAAGGACCGGATCGCACTCTCGATGATCGAAGAGGCGGAGAAGCGCGGCGATATCGACCCGGCGCGCACCACCATTGTCGAGGCCACGTCTGGCAACACCGGCATCGGGCTGGCGATGGTGGCGGCCGCCAAGGGCTACAAGTGCATCATCGTGATGCCGCAGGTCCCGAGTATGTACGAGCGCTACATCCTCGTACGCAAGTTTGGGTGCGACGTGCACCTCACGTCGGTGATGCAGGACAACTTCCCGAAGACGATCGAGAACCTGATTGGGTACTCGACCGAGCTCGTCAAGAAGAACCCCGACTACTGGACCCCCTCGCAGTTCGACTCGGAAGACAACCCGCTCGCGCACCTGACTGGCACCGGCCCGGAGATCTGGGAGCAGACCGACGGCGAGGTGGACTGCTTCGTGGCGGGCGCGGGGACGGGAGGCACGCTCAACGGGGCGGGCCAGTACCTCAAGTCGAAGAAGCCCTCGTGCCGTGTCGTCTGCGTCGAGCCCACCGAGGCGCGTGTGCTGGTCGGCGCGCCGGGAGGCATGCACGGCGTCGTCGGCATCGGGGCCAACCTGCAGCTGCCGCTCATCGAGAAGCTGGCGCCCGGCCAGGAGCCGACACAGATGACGCCATCGCCTACACCCCGTCCCCTCCTCATCTCCTTTCTCGCCCGGGCAGGAGTGGGCCGAGGGGCCGCGGGGCGCAATCGACGAGTTTGCGCACGCGTCGACGCCAGAGTCATGCGAGTGGGCCAACCGCGTCGCCGCGCAGGAGGGGTGCCGACTCACGGAGGAGGCGTGTAGGCTGGCCGGACGCTGCTCGGAGGCCTGCTTGTAGGAGGGCCTGCTGGTCGGCCCGTCGAGCGGCGCGGCGATCAAGGTTGGGGTCGACATCGCCCACCGGCCGGAGATGGCGGGCAAGACGGTCGTCGTGCTGCAGGCGAGCCGAGATGCCGCCGAGATGCTGCCGAGAGATGGCGAGACGAGCGTGGTGCTGCAGGCGTCGTCTGCGATCCGGTACGTGAGCCACCCGATGTGGGAGGGGCAGAAGGTCGAGGGCAAGGAGGCGCTCCCCATCCCGCCCGACCTCGAGACGGAGCACCCGGTCTGCCGCTGGAGGTCGGAGGACTACGTGCCGCCGCCAAAGGACTGAAGCCGCCTGTCGGCGCAGTCGAGGGGGGCGCACGCGTTGGCAGAAGGGCGCGAGGCGGCATGCGCTGCGGCGGGCCTTGCTCACATCTCCTTCCGGTGCCGCGGCATCTGAGAGTACGGTCGTAGGGGGCGGCAGTGGGAGAGGAGGGCAAATGCCAAATCGCGCGGGCGACCGCATTCGGGAGAGTACGTGTTTGCTATATTAGCCTCCCGTCGGGGCCGGACTGCGCGGTGCACCATCGATCGATCCCAGACAGGCCGAGGGCGAGACGTGGTTCACGCAGACACTGGTTGGGTAGTAGTCTAAGTTCTGAGCCTCGCGGCTTAACGGGTCTAAGTGTGGCTAGCCACGCTGGAGTGCTTACGCGGTCTAAGATCAGCGGGAGCCTCTTACACCGGCTAAGTCGGCCATGGCACGCGATATACGGCGCTCGCGCCCAAATTTTCTTCGCCTGCGCGGCGGGCGATCGATCCTCCTCATGCTCAGCAATCGCCGCCTCAGCATCCTCCTCTTCCGATTCTCGTTGCTGCTTCTTGAGCGCACTTCGGCGACATCTAGCCAAATAGTTCTCACAAATAGCCTCAAGCTCAAACAAACGCATGTCAGAGAAGCCTGTGTATGCTGGTCCTCTTTGAACGATCCGCGCGTGAGGTAGCATAGGGCCTTGTTGGCAGCAGCCAGCTTGTTGCGCTGCTTCGTTGCGATGAGCTGATTGGGATCGCAGAAGTGCATGCCAAGCACCGCCACGATCTTGAAGCAGAACACATCGCAACCGCATCGTCCGCACTGCCATCGGCATGCCGCGCCCGCCGCTTCGCCGCAGCCGCCTTAAGGCACGCATAGCGGCAGCACATGGTACGGTGCGCGTACTTGAGCAGGCGTTGCGCGCCGCAAGTAGCGCACTGGCCCTGGGAGACGGCGATATGGCGTCGTGCGCGGCATACGCTGGTCGGGACCGCGTCCAGGTATTTTTCGGGTAAACCTGGACTTTTGCAGGTATACCCGGGTTTTACCCGGAGTTGGCCTCGTGTCGTCTAAGTTCATGGCCCCCGGCCTTCCAGCGTCTAAGTCTGAGCCCGGCTCCGTGCGGGGGCTAAGTTGAGCGCTCGCTCGCTGCAGAGGCTAAGTGTAGAGCGACCCTCTAGCCCTACTACCCAACCATTACGCAGACCTCTGTGGGCTGCGTGGGGGGGCAGAGTGGGCTCTGTGACGCTGTGGGTGGGTATGCCATATGCGGCGTAGAAGAAAAGGAGCAGCAGACGGACGCCACAAGGGATTTTCAGTGTATGTAGCTCTTACGAACATACCCGTAGGTGAACTGCTGACAGGGTTGGTGCGATGAGGAGCGATCCGAACGTGGTATTCGATTTTCAGGAGGAAAGTGTGCGAACTTGGCGCAGGATCCAGGAACTTGGCACATATCCTTGGTTTTTGATTTCTACCGCAGCGAATACATGTATGTTGTATGTTCACCTGAGCGGAGGCCAATTGATCCAATTGATTCGCGAGGCTCTGGCAAAAAGTGGGTACTGCGTTGGCAACGTGCTTTTGTCCAAGCCTTCAGCTGGTGCCAAAACGTATAATTGTCCGCGACCAAATACCTCGACCAAAATACCCTGGTACGCGGTGGGTAGAAATGGCTTGCTTGCAAGAATGGGATGCCGACAGGCGTCAGGCGGCGCATGCCGAGAAGTCGCTTGCCGTGCGGGAGCTCGTGCACCTCTCCCTGCGCGCGAAGTCCACGGGCGTCGTCGCGGAGCTTCATCTCGACACGGCACTGGTTGCTCCGAGCGGCAGCGGAGCTGATCACGAGCGACAAATTCGCGGGGATGCCCGGCAACAGATTGGCGTGGCGTCCTAAACAACGCGACCGACGAGCATGCTCAACTGCTGCGCGACCGCACTCTGCGACCCCGACTTTTGTATGCGCTTTGCCATTCGCCGCCGCATTGGCTCAGGGGGCACAGTCCGCTTGCAGTGGCTCTTCCGCACGAAGCGTTGTTGCCGCCTATAGAGGAAGTACCGTTCTACCGTTGCTACGTACAAAAGACTGAAACCCCCAGGTTAGGGCCCTTAGGGGGTTCTCCCAGTAAGCTATAAAAGTACGTACATGTACTTGGTGCGTGCAGCCCTCCAAATTCGGATCCGGAGCGTAGCGGAGTGGGCCCCGAGTTTGAAAAAGGGCGACGGACGCTTGCGTCCTAGCTCCAACAACGCCTGCCTCCCCGGCGCAGAGGGGCCCCCGGAGGGATGCACAACCGCTCCACGCCACGCCGCTCGCGGCGGTCCTATTCCCAGCTCCGCTGAGGGCCAACACGTTATAAAAGAAAGAAAACAGACAGCGCAAGGGAGGGATGGGAGGACGGCACGCCGCCACCACACAGGGATTTTAATTAAGGAGAGAGGAGTGTAGTGCTAGCCGTCGCCCACCCTAACCCTTGGTCGTCTGCCTCTTTCTATCTCCCTTCGCAGTCTTCCCTCGCCGATTCTCGCTGCAACCTTCATGCCACCTCGCGGTCGTCCCACTCTCGTCGTTCTCCCTCCTGTCGCTTCCTCCTCTGTCGCGTCGCTCTCGTCTGCCTCGTCCTGCGCCGCCGCCGCCGCCTGCCGATCCCTTGCGCTCGCGGCTTCTCCAGCCTTTCGGCGCAACTCTGCCCTGCTCGCGGCATATTTTGGCCCCTCGAGTTTATCGAGCTCTCCGCGCGCACGTTTTTTTCTGTCCCGGAGTGAATTCTTTTTGGTCTGTGCAGAAATATGCAAGTCCTCGCTCTTTCCCTCCTCCTCTCCTGCTCAGCTTACGTGACACCGAGCCGCATTGTATGCTGTCTCCCGGCCGCCGTACCACGGGCCGCAGGTATTGTTAGCTCGCTCACGGCGTTTGAGCGCCCTTTTGGCGGCAAGGTGCTGACGCCACCTACTACAGCCGCGCAGAATGTTGCCGTCTCGCTTCGGCGCGCAAAGCCGTCAGACGCCGTAGCGATCGCCACGATATGCACCGACTCCTTCTACGGAGAGCACGAACTCAAGGACGGTCCGATCAAATTCAGCCAGCGGGCTGCGGTATGGAGTAAGGTCTACCTCGCAGTCTCGCGCCGGCTACAATTTGAGGGGCAGCGCGAATGCCGGCTGGTGGTGGCGAGCGACGCGCGTGGCGGGCCGCTGATCGGTTGCGTCGACCTCGCGGTGCATCTCTTCAACACGCAGGCGGCTGCCCGAAGCTCGCGAGCGTTGTCTTCAAGAGAGACCCCTGCGCCCGACGCCTGTGAGGCCGACCCTGTATCGCCCAAGCCGCGTTGCCGCCTGGTGCCCCGCTCGCAGGAGCGCCGGTTCGAGCTTACACGTGACGAGATGCCGTCCGGAGGAAGGCATGCCTGGCGGTGAGACTAGCCGAGACCGAGACTTGCAGACGAGACTTGCAGACGAGACTAGCCCAGAGGCGTCTTGCGGTGGCGTCTGCTGCTGCTGCTAGAGAGGGCCAGCCGCGTGCTGTCGCCTCACAGCCACGCCCCGAGCACAGGCCGTACGTCGCCTCTCTGGCAGTGGATCGGGCCTACCGGCGGAGGGGCGTGGCGCGCTGCCTCGTCGGCGAGGCGGAGCGAGTCGCTCGCAGCTGGGGCCACGGGGAGGTGCTGCTGGAGGCGCCTTCCTAGACACTTCCTAGACACTTCCTCGACACTTCCTCGAGGCACGGGGAGGTGCTGCTGGAGGCGCCTTCCTAGACACTTCCTAGACACTTCCTAGACACTTCCTCGAGGCACGGGGAGGTGCTGCTAGAGGCGCCACCGGAGGGAGAGAGGGGGAGAGCGACCGCGCCTCTCCCCATCTCTCTCTCTCTCTCTCTCTCTCTCTCTCTCTCTCTCTCTCTCTCTCTCTCTCTCTCTCTCTCTCTCTCTCTCTCTCTCTCTCTCTCTCTCTTTCTCTCTCCCTCTCTGCCCCAGCCCTCTGTCCCTCCCGACCCGCCTCAGGTGTCCGCGCAGAACGAGCCGGCGCTCGCCTTTTACCGGCGAGAGGGGTGCGGCGCGCAGCACAGCCGGCCGTCGGGGGCTGAAGGTCGTTCGAGGCTCGGTGTTTGAATAGGTACCGCGTGGTGCGGTCGGACGTGGCCGGCACCGGCGCGGAGGAAGTGGACACCTCCGGTTCGCGCGCCCCCTCTCCCTCTTCTGGCGCTCCCGTGCCGTGGCTCCGCTGACGCGAGTCTCGCCGCCGCAGGCTTGTGGTGGTCTTTCTATCAGATGCCGAAGTATATCCTACGCAAGCGGCTCTTCCCGGGCCGCGGCGCGCCGCGCACAGACTGAGAGGGCGGACGTCATGTCAATGTATTTCGCGCGAGTGAAATGTGTTACCGCTCTCTCCACTCATCGCGGACCACTAGAGAATGTGTTATGCGCCGCCCCGGCCCGGTTGTATATTTCCCTATCCTTTTAATGTGTCTAGATATTTGATATGGA